AATATGTTGTCATCGTAACATCAATTGTATAATTATCTCAAGATAACTAGCAAGAAATTCTCAACGACCTGGAAAAATAAGTTCATCAGTTGAAAATATCTTTATTGAACGAGTCTAATAATTTCAGTTCATTTGCAGCGATTGAACAATAAATAATGAGTTCTTCAAATTCGAAAAAGCCACATAACGACCAGAAAAGCAATGAATAATAATAATGCGTATTTTATATTCGAGAATAGGGATGGGACAGTTCCAGTTCCTAAAGTTCTTAAGAACTGGTCACCAGTTCAGTTTCTGTTGAACGGGAACTGGTCACCAGTTCTTTTCAAAAGATTATATGCCAAAGTGTATTTGGTAAACGTTTGACGGTCTCCGATGCTTTCGTTTTCAATACAGACGTCTTGAANCTCCATGGAAACGGGGCAATTCTGAAGCCCCCTAGTATACTGCTGAAGTACACCAAGTGTACTATCATAGTCCATCCTGCGATTTGTGGGTTTCGCTAAAATGGCTTAGGCGGCACGGTCGGGGGCACCGAGTTCTAGAGGCTTGCTTCAATCAGTACACGGCTTTCCTTTCCAAACTTATAGAATTTACAAGAGAAGCCCTAAATTTATTTCCTCTTATTTCTGTAGCTTTGAGCTGACAATGAACATTTAGAGCTTTTCTTGTAAATTCTATGTTTGCAAAAAAAGGTTTGAATAATGTCTTATATTTAAGCCATCAAAGAGTGTAGCCCCTGTGGCGAAGTGGACTATCGCGTCTGGCTTCTAACCAGAAGTTCGTGGGTTCGATCCCCACCAGGGGTGGATTTTTTTACTTTACATAAGGATACACAGCGGAATACAGCGCTTTTCATTCTTGTGATGTTTATACATGGCTGAATAGAGCTCGTCATTCTGAGTAAGAATATGTGTATGTTAGCCTTTGAATGCTTTTTTAAGGAACGAAAGTCTAAAATCTAAATTTTTAAAATTCTTAAGAAAGGACCTTAGTTTTAAATAAATCCATTTTTAGTGGTATTTTACTACGCGGCCGTTCACCTGAACTAACGTGGGTAATGTTATATACTCGTCAGAATGTAAAGCGTTCGCGGCGTGACAATGTGGGCAATTGCATTGATGCTTTCTGCTCACTTTTTACAAATATTTTTTCTAGATTCATCATTAAAAGGTGAGTCTGGGAATGATGCTGGATGGATTTTGAATCCAAAGGTCTATTCGTTTCAGCGATCCATATCAAAATTTGATGATTTTCTTTCTAGCGAAGCGGTTTTTGAGATTTTTACATATTCGGAATCAGCGTCATGAGTTACGTTGTACGGCGCAAAGATACAGACAAACCTAGAAAGGAATAAAGTGAAAACTGAAAAAATTTTATCTTTTCATTGAAATGTTCACTGCAGTCACTATGAAATTATTCTGTATTCTGTCAACTTGATAGTTAAAAAAAATAAAATTAACTAGAATGTACCTCTCTCCATTTTCTACGCCAGTTTGAAGTGCACAAAGTGCACTCCCTGGAGAATGTCCAGTAAACTGTAAGTAAAAACGCTTTTTTCCTGTTTTCTTGTACAGGATCTGTTTTTTTCCTGACCAGTGGAAGAAATCAAGAGCAGGAGCTGTCTTTTGGATAGTCATCAGCATTTAACTAATACCCCGGCGTTAAAAGTGACTATAGCTTTCTCAGGTTTGATTACATCATGTTTTACTCGGACTTTTCTTCGAGAACATGATGTAAACAGTTTTTGAGGTTTATATCGGCCCCATGATCCCTTTAGGACTTCACAATCTTTATCTGCAAATGAACAGAAACATGTTTTTACTGAACTCATACATCAAAGACAAAGGATTTAGTGCGGGCACACAGCAATTTTGGCTCTCTAATGCCTCATGTAAACCCTCCTTGCATCTTTTTGCCATAATGTTGCACTATTTTCCATCTGCTTTGAATAAGTTAATAATAAGGTCTGAGACTTTCAGTCAAGAAATTTTCTATGTTGGATGAAGTTTTCTATTCCTATGTGCTTCTCAATTATGGCTCAACATATAACGGGCGTTTGATCTCAAAATAAAGGTGAGAGCAGTTGATGTTTTATGGTTCAATTGTGAATTGCTAAAACAATTATGTGAAGTAGTGCTTACGTTCATCAATAAAAACTTTAATCTGCATTCACATGTGAACTCAATTGTTTTGTCAGTAATCATCGTCGTCGTGCAAATTATCAAATAACATTTCAATTGTATTATACAAATGATCGATTGATATGTCACTATCAAACTCCTTTTTCCAACAATAATTCGTTTTACGACATGATTGTTCAGTTTTTCCACCATCCGTAGTTGACCATGGAGCATGATCCTAAAAGGTTCAGTTATATGAACCAGCAAACAATGAACGAAAGTGGAACAGCTTACCATTAGGTAGCCAACAATACGTTCACTATCGGCAACGTACTTCAATGTTTCCTGCATATGTGAATACCGCATAATGTCGATCTTAAGTAAAAACAACAGATCGGTACCATGCGTTGCTCCCTAATCAGTCTCCTGTACATAATCAATATGATGATCAATATGTGATCTATCCTTGTATTTGAGGTAGCACTGTGAAATGGGAACTTCTGAAACACTTTCCTGCTTAAATCGTTCACACAATGGAAGCCAATTGGCATCGAGAATAATATCAACTTCAGTAAATGAAAATGGATTTGTTAATGGGAGCTGCCATGTGGCTGATGATCGTCAAATTCAAAATGTGTTTCATCCCAATATGGATAATTTGTTGCGGTGTTATCTGGTCGTCTGACGACGTCGTGGACAGCAATGGACGATATTTTTTACTAAACCGTTGTTCATACAAACAGCAAGTATCTTTAAATATTTGATATTTTAAGAACTGTTGAATATCTGTAACTCCAGAACGAAGAGAGATAGAGACCTGCAGTCTTCAGTATTTTGTAGAGGAGGCTTTACTGCATCTTTTGATACATGGGGGTTTGTATAATGGGATTTTCAGGCGGTGTAACTGATATGTGAAAAAAGAAGAGGTTGCCAGGTGCTGAAGCCAACGTAATTAATGAATGATCAATGATTCGCCGAAATAAACGTAAACAATCAACACGATACATTGATGGTCGTAACAAATATGTTTGCGAAACAATGTCAATATCCAACGTTGGAACAAGTAAAAGGTCTGGTCTTAATGGTTTAAATTGCATAAATCGATAATGCCTCGTGATCATTTGTTTTGTAATATCTGTTTGACGCCATTTTAATTGAAATGGAATCGCCTTTTCTAGCAATGATAGGAGTTCACCTGCAATCCTCTCAATATCCACAGACAAATTGATAGTCCTGTTAAATGGAGAGAAAAGGAAGCTTATAGTTGAGAACAAAATGAAGTATATCGGATTTTACGTTCCTAGGGTGACGATTCTAAGAATAAAAGCTCGTTTCGTTCGAGTTAAGATGAAGGTAACTTACATTTGTGCTGAACAGTTTGGGTGTTCATGAAATGCAGCAACAGGTGTAAATGGTTGTTCCTGGTTTGTTTCTTTGTTCGGGTGAGATCGGACAGGATATGGTGGAGCAAACGAACCTACCAATCTACAAGCTGTTTCATGCAATTGACCTCTATATGTTGCTTCAAGTAATGCTAATTCTTGATTTCGACGATGTTTTTCATAAATCCAATTCATATAAATTTGTTTGAATGATTTCAATGTCAATCGTGTAAGAAAAGACGAAAAACCTCTTAATAACAATAATTAGAACAGACCGAAACAAATCGGGTGAGGTCAAATGATAAAAAAGCTTTGAAAGCGTAGTCCTGCGGTCTAAAAGTAAAGCTTCTTCCATTACCTGACACCAAATATACATCCAAAATACTCATTTTCGGGCTAAATTCGGAACTATAGGCCCAAACTCATTCTTTTAACATTTTAAGTTTGCAGTACACGAGTTGTACTGTATGCCAGTCTACTTTTTGAGATATAGAGCTGTCAATATCGGAGCTGAATATGAGAAGAAAATACACTTTTTATGCCAATTAATAAGCGCAATCATTTCTTAAAACAAGTTCTTGACCAGCATGACTTTTCGGGTTTCTCTTCGGATCAGGTAATCTTATAAGATACTTGCGAATGTATATTCAACATCTTTTTGCTAACTGCGTAAAGCAGTAACTAGTGAATAATATAGATAGATATAAAGGACAAGGCAGTAAGAAACGGCTGAACTTTATATTTTCATAGAATTATGCATATAACAAGACAGCACTCACTATGAAATTACCATTTATTACGTCAACTTTACAACTTAAAGTAAAACGAACTAGAATGTGGTTAACCATTTGAGTCCAAATGACGTATATATATATCAAGGTATTTCGATGACTGATTGAATTTTCTGGGCTGTAAAATATTGAGCACCGGACATTTTCGTCCCATGTTCAACTCCGATATTGACAGCTCTGTAGCTCAAAAAGTAGACTGTACCCTTTTCTAAGAAAAGCTGGGCATACAGTACAACTTGTGTACTACAGATTGTCTTAAAAACTGGAGAGAGTACCTTCAAATTTGTTAACTTTTTAAAGTGGGAAGTTGCCAGAATATACACTCATTTTATAATGAATGCAATTTCGCTTTTGGATAAAAACATAAAAGGACGGGGTTCGCTAAGAGACAAAATCGGATGTCTCTCAGATCAAGCTCATATTTACAGGTCTGATTTAGTTTTTCTCGGTGATTAAAACTAATACCTAATACCCTAAAAACCCCATTTTGCCCCCCCCCCCTGGAAAAATTTTCGCATCTAAACTTTTCTCTCGTTAGAAGAACAAAGTGTCCCTTCTCTTTTATTGGCTCAAACACCGCTAAGCGAAGACCGCGAGATCCAACTTAAGGGCTTAGATCTCTCCAGTGCTAAATTAAACCCAGAAGAAGAAAAACTTCTGAGGGAATTAATACTCAAATACTCCGATCTATTTGCCTCAAAACAGGTGCACATGTTTGATTAATATAATCATTAATTTTGACAGCAAGTTGGTGATGTTGTGGTGGATCGAGAATTCCTGTTGAAGTTGTTGTCCATTGTTTATACCATGGGTCGAGATCAGTCACTCTTTGTCCTTTGGTGATTATTTGCCGAACAGGTGTCAAATTCGCTATTTTTAATGATGTTGAATTGTTGTGGACGACCACTAAACAATTAGCAACGGATATACGGCTGGGAGTGGCTGTAGTAGTAGCTTCCCATGAGTCCGAGCTAAACTGTAGTGGTGGGCGGACGGATATATATGTTGCGTGACATGGTGGAAGAATTCGTTTCTCTGTGGCATAAACCGGAACATTCAAACGACCAGCTTGATGAAGATCTGTACTTAATAGGTATTTGTCGAGTGGTGTTGATTTTCGCCATAATCTTCCATCGCGAATGTCCAATATAATTCCTGTTTTGTACAGAAAATCTGTTCCCAACAATATTAATTGATTGAATTTTTGTTCTAGGATGCATGAGTGGCGTGTTGTCTGTGCAGCAACTGTGATATTTACATCAATCCAGCCTGCTGGTTCTATAGAGCTTCCTTCTGGACCAACGATATCTGACCCAGAATATGGATGAATATCTTGTGAAGTGCCACCGATGATTATCCAATCTTGATAATTCATTATTGTTACTCCTGCACCTGTATCAATCGTTAAAATCCCATTAATATCGTTAATTTTTCCTTTTGTTATAGCGCAGCCTCTAGTAATTTTATAGCTGGCATTGGAATCAGTAGGCGTTAGATGCATGCCCATTAACTGATTTACTAAAACAGGATTAGATAATTTCTACTGTTTAGCAGGTTTCATGTTGATCTTCTTTCTTTTCCTTTCCTTAATTCTCAAATTTGTCTCGGCCTCAGTTTTTGAAGAATGTACACATACTTTTCTTGTCATACATAGTGGATCACCATCTTCAGCGACATCTTGTTGTACATCCTCCTCTTCAGACATGGTATCCTTATTAGAGTCATTGGATGTTGTTGTATGATTTTCGTTTTCTTCAATTATTGTTCATAATTGTTGCTGATTTTTGAGATGATGGTCAACAAATTTTTGTCGAACAGGATTCGATTGACGATCAACATCTAATAGAGAGGGCTGCGCGATTACAATTACAAAATGTAAAGTTCATACATTGCTATTATCTGTAGAATTAAGAATTCTAGAATTATGAACTTTACATACATGTAAAGTTGCTTATTCACACTCATCCTCACCCTCACCCCCACATTCACCCCTAGAATTCAGAATTTTAGAAAATTCTGAACAAGTAAAGTTCAACTTTACATACATGTAAAGTTCATAATTCTAGAATTCTTAATTCTACAGGTAATAGAAATGTTTGAACTTTACATTTTGTAATTGTAATCGCGCACGTCTGCTAATAGAGATTGTTGTTTCTTCTTTGTTAATGCCTCTCCATTACGGCCGGCAGCACCAAAGATTCGTAACGATTCTATCGCGTAACGTTTTCCACCACCATCATGCTGAACAAATTTGATAATTTGTTTAGATGTATTGCTGTCGACTTGTTCTACATTATTTACTACTGTCGTGGTTACTGTTGAGGATTCTTTTAAATCGGAAGTAGGTTTATCCTCATTCGACCTCTTCCTTATTAGTTTAAATATTGCTGATTTTGTGATGATGATAGCTGCTGTCGTGTGTATCCTTGAGGCGGATATGGATTTAGCTGTCGTTGTGATTGTTTCTTAATTTGACAAATTTCTTCAATATGTCCTTGTCGACCACAATAGCCACATATTTGTCTCTGATAACAACTTGTAGTAGTATGTCCTTTTCGTTTACATTGTTGACAGATATGAGCTGTTGGACAATCTTTGCTATAGTGATTTTGTTCTTTACAATACCAACAACGGAGATTTGTTTGTTGATTTAATTCTTGTGACCATCCGTAATTATTTGGTAATTTTGATTGATTAATGTTACGATCGTCATGTTCGCGTCTCCACCATCCTTGATCTCTTTTATTCATATTTAAATTATTATTACTGCTGTTGTTTAATGAATTATTTTATGGTGATGTTTGAATCGATTCGATTACGGCTACTGTTGTAGGATCTGGACGAGTGAATTTCTTTTTTGTTGTAATTATTTCTTGTTGTCCTGGACAGACGTCACGACTGTTGAAAATTCAAACGTTCCTTCTTATTGCGCGTCTTTCCTCTGGTGTAGTAGAAGTAATTCCACCTTCTCTGCGCGTTTCATCATTTGTGTCATGGGCAATTCATCAGCTTCCACACCCATCAATGTAATCACTTCCGGACGGAGCTTTTTTAATAGATTCTTTTTGAGTTGTGATCCAGAAATTTTCGGATCGATTTCTAGTGCCAAGCCCTTGTATCGTTGATTGAAATCGGCGACAGATTCATTGGGTCCTTGTTAGGCATGCACCGATTTCGATTATTCGAAATCGATAATATTCGAACCTTCGCTTATTCGAAATCGAAAATAATCGAACCCTTTTTCCGTTTCTGGCAAAATACTAGAGCGACGTGACAGTTCAGATTATTTGCGTGTAAACTGAAATACATAAAGTCATCCTTTTCGAAATATTTAAACAAATACTATGTAAATTTTCTTTTGAAATCAGGTTGGTTTCATTGCACATTCTCATTCTTAATTCAGGAAGATCTTTAATAGATGTTTTGTAGATGTTGTTTTTCACGTGCCCCCATAGAAAGAAATCCGAAGAAGTCTGGTGAGCGTGAAGCCCACCGAATTGAACCTCCTCTCCCAATCCATCTGTTAGGAAAATGATTATTCAGATATTGTCGTACATCGACGACGAAATGGGGAGGAGCACCTTATTGTTGAAATATGATCGAACGGCTCCTGTATAATCGTCTAACTGCTGGAATGAAGAAGGTTTTAAGCATTAATAGATAATTTTTTCCATTGACAGTATCATCTTCGAAAAAATCAATTGATTTTTCGGTATCGCACACCAGACGTTGATTTTAGCAGATTTCATAACAGGTTCAATAGTATCGTGTGGATTAGTTTCACAGCATTATCGAATGTTATGTTTGTTAACTAATCCTTTTAAATAAAAAGTAGCCTCGTCCGAAAAAAATAAGTTTTCTTGAATGTCATTGTCTTCTAACATTGGTATCAATGTTTTACATATTTCAACTCTATCTTGTAAGCCTTCTTCATAAATTGCTTGCACATGTTGCGCCTAGTACGGATTCAATGAAAGATATACTGCGGTATAGTTCAAAGCCGTTGAAATACTGGAATTGAAAGTAGAGTTCGACAGGAAACATTTCAGTGGTTGTCGGTGGAGAGTCGGATAAGTCGTCTTATTCAGTGGGACGTACACAGTCGTTTTATTATTTTATATTTTATTTTTACCGTGAAATTTTCGCACACAAAATCCTGCTGTAAAGAGTGTCACTGCAAGCTTTTTAAGGATGTTGTTGTTGTTGTGCAATGACGCGCCATAGAGTGGAAAAACAAAATCCTCTTTCTCTTCTCTTGCTTACGTAGTCACATTTACCTGTAGAGTTTCGCAAAGGATGTGCGTATTCTGTTTTTTACATTCTGCTAGTTATTACACAACAAGCACGAAAAACAAAAGCTTCGTGAAAAACTTGATTTCAGATAATCAATATACGGTGGTTTAACAGTTGAACAAGGAGAATCTCTATTAAAACACGTTTAGAATTACTTATTTAGAGAAACTTGATTTTTAGTACAGTATGGATTATGATGATGTTCAGCATTTAAAAAGTGAGACAATTGAGGAATTCAAAAAAGTCTTTTGTCAAGAAGAAGCAAATGTTAAGGTTATCTGGAAGTGGCCGTATGTTCATTATTTAGTCGAATTACCAGATGCATATAGGTAAGCTTGGTACGACGACTTCAAACTGTTATCGTTCTGAAAATAAAATACCCTCGGTACTTACCTACTAAATAACTTTTTAACGCAAACAGCTAGAAATCTGCTGCGGTTTTTAGATCCGGTAATAGATGAATTTTGCCACAAATCAATAACAAAACAGAGTTTTTTGAAAACGCTTTCCTCTTTCCGAACCTGAAACACTTACTTCTATAACGCTTTTCGTTTTCGAATTATAGAGGTTGTAAACAAATGGCATTTTTCGGGAAACCTCGGCTCTGTAGACCTAAAAACCACCGAGACTTAGGTTATCTAGTACTCTGATATTCGTGGTAAGGACAATTTTACGAAAAACATTAACGGAAGCAAGAGTTCAGTTTTTCTAAAAATCCTATATTTAGAACTGGAATTAAGGAAAGTCAGCTTATTAAAAAAAGACGACGGTTAGCTCGGTACTTTTGACTCTAAACAAAAAGCTAAAGCCACTATGCAGCGCATTCTATAAGCAATGTGTATACCTTTTTGAAGTCTCAAGAGTCCAGTTTCCTGTAAAAGGTCGTCTTTTAGAAGCTCTATAACTCGAAAAGGAAAAATGACAGAAAGCTAATTCTTTCAGGTTTGAAAGAGGGCCTCTCAGAGTACCAGACTGAAGGAAAAAACAATAAAAAGCAGTTTTCCAGACAAAACTCCGCAGCTTTTCTAACTTTTCAGGTTACTATTAACCTGAAAAACACTTTCGAAAAACTCTGTTTTCACATAGATTTACAGTAAAATTCATCTGGGTTCCGAATTGAATAACAGGAGGATCAAAAGTCGCATGTTTTTCAGTCCTGTACTGCATTTTGAAAATATATTTTCACATCAAATCTGCTACGATAACGTAAACGATGAAAATACGTCAGGGTTACTACAGTTTACGACGGTCGTATACTTTGTTACGTTCTGATTTTTTTTGAAAAATTTGACTAGTTGTAAACGATTGTATACGACTGACGTAACTGTCTTGTAATTCATCGTTCACATATCGTCGTATCTGTCAACGTTTACGACTGACGTACTTCGTCGTAATTTGACATATATTGTAGTATACGCTCGTGAGTCCTCGACCTGGGTATTTCTCCTTTTTCGCCAGTTGTTTGTTTATTAAGATCACATTGATCAAAATACGTTTTTTGTCTTCTCTAAACGAATATAGTTATCTCTGAAATATAGGTATATTATTTTCTAACAAGTACATTGGTTTTCTGCTTTTTAAATTTTATTTCAAATAATACAATGTATTTGTCATTTTCCTAAGTTCGCTGTTTGCTACTTTTATACTAAGTTTCCAAATAACCAGCGCTGTCACAACACTAGAAATCTTGCTATAATGTATAACTATAAACGTTCCATCATCTTTTTAACGCTGCTATGGTCCACTGAACAGCTCATATGTCATCTGGCTAAGAATATGAGCAAGAAAGCTTACTGCAAAAAAAGTCCTATCATTAAGTCGAAAAAATTTACGTAATCCTTTCGAAAAATCGGATCGATCTGGTAAATGTTTCTTTTAATTCCACTATTCAGAGAAATCCTCAGGAAAGTGCATTGATGAACAAATGTGAAAAAGAATCACTTGGAAAAGTTTTAGATTACATAGGATAATCTACACTAGGTTTTTTCGAATTTTTAGTCACTACTTAGCTCGTTTCCACACAATTTATCTTATGAAACTCGAGAATATGATGAACAATAAACTTCTGATTAAGGTTACCATTTTTTGTTACTTTTCTGCTGAAAACAAAGGTGTTAAGCAGAGTTTTAGTTTCGACTTATGGGAACAATAGCACCCTCTCTAGTGCACATCTGTGAATGAGAAACAATTAGATCGCTACTTACTTAATTGAAAATTTTGCAGAATTTCTTGAATTCTTTCTGCACTGGTGTTTTCCAAACTGATTAATGTTTCTTGCAATGAATTATGATGATAATTACTTGTAATCTGAATATTACAATTCAGTGCTTTTAAAAAAGCATGTAAATAACAGGATTGTAATGTTCTCAATATTTCCATGACAATAACTCGTACTGTTGAATAATGGTTTAAAAGTCTTGACCTTCTCGCATTTTTTTTTATGTTAAACTCGTTGTTCACGTTTTTAAATAACGTGTGAATCCATATAGATTATCCAAATTTGTAGTATCTTTCCTAAAATATTCAAACATTACGAATTTTTAACGTTTGACGATCATAGTAGGGAGCATAATTTCAAAATGCGGTGATATGAAATGTGAATAGCTTACCATGACAAATAACTAACAAAATCGTAAGTTGATGCACTCGATAAAGCTATGTGTACATCATCAGTATAACGAGACAAATCAATTTTGATTGGTGGCGGTTGTACAGGATTGACAGATGCAGCATAATCTGTAATAAACAATAATAAGATTGGAGGCCATTTTGTGACTTTGAATTTTTTGTTCATTCGAGTATTACATTCAGGACATTTTTTTTCCGATTGTCTCGTGTTGAAAAAATCATATAATTCATCGACCACATCCATTGTATGTCTTTTATTTTGTAATTGTATAGCATCATAGGTCGCATTTCTTTTGAACGTTTGTACACAAGTGGTGCATTCAAAATAACAAATGCCTTCTATTCTTGTAGATGTTAATATGTTGATCATTGGATGAACGATGTGACGTAATAAACAAATAATTTTTTTGATTCATTTTCGTTATTTTGCAATAAGTTTTCAACATCTAAATAATTTTTAATGACATCAATATCATTTTTTATTATTCTGTTTTTTGTCATAATTTTATTAAAACTGTTATTGGATCGTAATAACTTTTTTCGCCAAACAGATATTCCAGATAGGCATAAAATAATGGCATGAATATAATTATTACGTGGGTGTAATTCCTATTGTTGTATATGTAAATCTTCATTATATTTTATGTCTATAGTTTGTGTTTTATTTAGCCTTCGTAGCACACTATTATTAGCCTGTTGTTGATACCAAGATCGGTTTCTATTAGCACGACTTGCCCCTGAGTCTGCGACAAATTTTGATTTGATTTGAACTTGTTGATTTAATTTATTCATAAAATAATGTTCAGCAAAAAACGTGATTGTGTCCATTTGTTTTTCAATTAATGTATCTAATACAACATCAATTCTTCCGTTCACAACTCCACCTAAATGGACTATTTTTGTTATCCCCATTTCTCGTTCTGATTGTGCATTTGATCGTTGTATTTGGATATTTGGATGAACCAATAAATTTGACCAAATTATAACAGACGGCATACACCATTTAAGAATGTATTTAATGAATTTAATATTACTATCTGTTTTCTTTCTATCTTCATCCGTCATTAATGATTGTGGCTGTTGTTCATGTGATTTTTCAATATTTTCATAAATTTCTGTGAAACTTGCTTTAAAGCCAGAGTTTATGGTTTCCAGCACGGTTACTTCGTTGAAAATGACACAATTATCTTGATCAGCTTGATTTGGATCATCTTGATTGTGATTATTTATTTCTCGTAATTGATACCGATCATTGGTTCCGTTCTAAAAAAATTAGAGAAACTCGACAAGAATAGAAAACTCTTAAATGGGTTGAAAAGCAACAACGAACAAAGGGATCTTTGCTTGGAAAATATGCAGCTGGAAAAATTGTATTCTTTTGGGTTTTAAGTCGCAGTTTTTGTTTACTTTTTATAGAGTTTCTGTAAGCAAACGAGCAAAACCTCGACTGCAAATAGAAGGTTATCACTGCATCGATAAGTGAGAATTTCGCATGATGACATGTACTACTATCAATCCTCTTTCTCTGTTTTAAAAAGAAATGACTAAAAAAAATTTTTTTTGAGGATATTCCAACTTTGTTTACGTTTACATCATGGCACTTCTAAATACGAAGAATATGGATAGGTGAAACTGTAGAAGTATCGTCACAACTTCTCCAGTCGTAAAAATTTAGAAAAGTAAAAATACGTACGTGAAGCAGATAGAAGCTAAAACAATATGTTGATCAGACATGGTTTTTTGAAATTTCGTCACGACTTTTACATTATCATCATGTTGAGAAAATGCAGAAGAGGAGTTTAGGTCTTTTATACGGCACTTAATATTTTGTTTTTGATTTTTCAACGCCCCACAGTAGAAAATTAGAACAAAGATGTGCATAGAAAACAGTTCAGTCCAATTGAAACTTAATTTTTTCGATTCATGCCGTAGATAAACAACAATCGATACGCTAGGTATTTTCCAAAGTTTCTCTTTTGTTTTTTCAGAACAAATGACATTTTATCGCAAAAAATTATTTCTAACAAGATCTTTTTTTATAAGTCAGACAGCAGGGTCTGAGAAATAATTAACGTTATACTCACTTTATTTCTCGAATTTTAAATTTCTAGGATTCCTACTTCCTTCTCTTTTTATTCTACAATTCTTAACCATATAACCATATAACCATATTTTAATTTACTAAGCCAAAAATCAATTATTGGCTGAGAATGATCAGATGATATAAGGAACGATATCGGAATTGAACGATCATGTGGCGCTGTATTGGATACTGATAGTGTTAATTCGTAACAGAGACGAAGATCATTGTTGTTGTTTCGAACGATTGATCCTGTCGCATCCCAACTGACAACAGTACCCGGTTGATGTACCAGTGCATTATATAAACGAAGTGACGCTTCCGTGAATACTATCACTATCAACGATGGTATTGTAAAGCAAAACCTTAAAAAAAGCGAAAACAACTTTTATGATCAAGGAAATAGATGCGAAAGGCGTGATCGAGAGATTTGAAGATGGAGATGTAGGCAAAAAAAGTTTGAGAATTTTTTCATGGACTTTTTTTAACTCTCTCGTATGAAATATTCAAAGCGGAAAAGAGTTGCCAAAATTCTGCTCGTAATTCTCAATTTTCTCCATACAAACTCAACTTTTATGCAATAAAAACATCATATTGGGAATTCGGACCAACAACTGAGTTGACTGATTTGCATTTCGAAATTTTTACTTGATTTTCATTTTTTTGATGAAAATCTAAAAATCTCGATAATTTTTCAACGTGGAAGTTCGACAAAATTAAAGTACTGGGATCGGGTAAGAAACAACGCAAGACTTTTGGACTTATTCAATCCACAAGTTTTTTCCTACAAGATCTGGCAGAATTTTGTTAGTTGAAAGAAAAACGATTTTGTTTTTCATGTTTATCCTGCGGTATCCAGCAATCTTTTCTCACCAATGTTTGTTTGTCCAGCTTTCGAATGATGTATAGTAGTCGTGAGGAATTGTGAAACTGAGAGAGAAAGATCCAAAAATATGATCTATAAAATAT